CGATCTTGACGCGTATCGATCCTGATGCGTATCGATCCTGACGCGTATTGATCCTGATGCGTATCGATCTTGACGCGTATCGATCCTGATGCGTATCGATCCTGACGCGTATCGAACCGTGACGCGTATCGATCCTAACGCGTATCGATCCTGACGCGTATCGATCCTGACGCGTATCGATCCTCGCTCGTTCCAGGGGAGCTACCAAGCCTCTCTTCCGTTCCTGATCTTCGGCGTGACGGCGATCGTGGCCGGACTGATAATCCTGCTGCTGCCGGAGACGTTACACTTGCCTTTACCGGAGACCTTGGAAGAGGCAGAACACCTGGGAAAGTACGTACACCTAGCGAGATTGCTGCTGATGCTACTGCTGCTGCCTCTGCTGCTGCTGCTGTTGCTGCTGCTACTGCAGCTGCTATTGCAGCTGCTATTGCAGCTGCTACTGCTGCTGCGGCTGCGTCTGCTGCTGCTGCTGTTGCAGCTGCTATTGCTGCTGCGGCTGCTGCGGCTGCGTCTGCTGCTGCTGCGTCTGCTGCTGCTGCTGCTACTACTACTACTACTACTGTTGCTACTGCTGCTGCTGCTGCTACTGCTGCTGCTGCTGCCACTACTGCTGAATGAAAACACAGACCATGGATTTAGCTTGAGAATTAGTGCCTGTGCCGTACCGTTATCTGCATTAGACTTTTTTCGTGATTTTTTCAGAGCCAAGGTGCACATGTCATCCCCTGGTTCGGAAGCCAGTCGGCTGCTCTCGGATCGCGAACTGAGTGACTAACTGTGATTGGTGGTTGTGAAACACGTTCGGTGGTGGCTGAATTTCAAATAGCACTTTTTTTTTACAGAAATTGAGGGTAGTCTATTAAATAATACGTAAGCATGAATAGAAATATCATAAACATATCTATACAGGGTGTATAATAATGTATACGTATAATAGAAGTAATACTACATACAACATACAATATACAATATATATATATATATATATTATATATATATATATATATATTGGCGCCTGCTTCTGTCCGTCCTAAGTCTAAGGCAGTGGTCTATGATGAAGCTGCTATCCTAATCCTAATCCTAATCTCTATCCAATCCATATCTCTAAGACAGACTCTACACCTTACCTCTGGGTGACTCCAAACACTCCTGCTAACCATCACCTTACCTTGGTCTCTGAGCCTGAACCCTATACCTGACGTTCTAGTTTGGTATTATGATCACTGTGATAGTTAATTATATTGCAAATTTATATATTGCGATGAGAGGTACGGCAACATGGCAGCATTGCTACGTAATACATTATCTGTTTATATATACTTGTTTCATGGACATGTTACTTGTTTACATTTTGTACGCGGCAATGAACACAATTTATGGGCGTTGTTTCTACGTGAGTCAGTGACTGTACGTGATAGACCACTTGTTATGTAGCACCACTCGGTCTCTGTATAGTCTGTTTCTCCTTACAAAGTTTACTGTTTGTTGTTAGTTTTGTATTGTTACTGTTTTCTGTGTTGTTGTTTTTGTATTGTTACTGTTTACTGTGTTGTTGTTTGTGTATTGTTACTGTTTACTGTGTTGTTGTTTGTGTGTTGTTACTGTACAAATTTACTGTTTGTTTTACTGTTTGTCCGTGTAAGCCTGTTTTTCCTTATGTACGTCCCAAACGCGTTTTAACTCGGAATATCTATGCAATCAATGAGATTATTATTTTATGTATTTATCATAAAGCGAAATGGGAATCATAGCAAAAATCATCTGCTTTCCGTGTTTATTTATCTCTCTACCGGCTTTGTCAGTGATGATTTTACGTGTGACCGCATGCCATGCCTCTATGTACATATATACACGAAATTTCTGACATCTTTTGCTGAGTTTATAACTAGGGTTTATAACTTGTATATAAAAGGTGGAACAAACATACATGACATAATATCAAGGTTTAATCATACATGTATTATCAGCTCTTGATAATATACACGTATATATCCAAATACGTATGTTTCCAAGCTAAAACCACAAGCATCAGTATTATATGTTATAGTTCTCGCTAAAATACTACCAAGAGATTGGTCTTCACTACGAAGACACAATAAAGGTACGAAGGAGCAAGTGTATAGGAGGTGATACATCACTTGGTATTATCCAGTAACTGTAATTCAAAGTAAAATGAAAGTAAAAAAAAAAGTAAACGAGTTGATTACGTGATGACGTCGAAATTTTATTTACACGATGGTTTCCACAAGTTTGACACTAGACTTAGCAACGTGACAGACATGATAGACGTAAACCCACGAGTGAGGCAACCAATATAACACATCGTTTATGCAGTAACCCAACCCAGAATCTTTAACTGGGCATGGGTTAGGTAGGCAAAACAATGTTGGCTGCACACACAGTACAGTCACATCGATGTATTTCGCATATGTACCGAGAGCATGAATTTTTTTTTAAAACAATCTAAAACGGGATATTACTAAATCTATGGACGATTCGATTGCATTGCAGGTGATGAAAATGTCGATATAAAATGCAGCCTGATTGGACAGTTACGCGCACATTACGAAAATTTTGAAAAGCATGAACATTTGACATGTTGCTTTAGCCTAATTGCAGCCGAAATTCTCTGGACATATGATAACACATACGCGCGCGAGTGTCTGTGCGCACGTACGTCGCTATACAAAGAGCAGAACTTGGTCCGTCGACGAAGGTCAAAGGTTGAAGGTCAGGTCACGCAGTGATGATGAGCTCGTCTATACCCCAGTCCTCGTAACTGCCGTCGGGGAGGTACCGCCGAATGATGATGGGAATTTTCCTCGATCTGGAACGGACGAAAGAGCGTGAAGAAGAAAATAGCATGCAAACATGGTTAGAAGTGCTGCTATAGGATCATGCTTAACACGTTCCCCGCGGATCCATGAGTCAGCTCGTGGGAACAATCAAAACGCAGCACGTGGATAGATTATTGGTTTTTGTTACTCTGATTTCCAACAGATGGCAGGCACTACCTACCTAGAAATTAAACAGGGACAGTCTATATTACCCCAGTCTTACATGAACTAACGAATACAAATTATACAATGCTTTACCGTTGATTCGAACGTGAAATTAGGAGTTTTGAGACTCAATGTTGGGTAAATTCGGGGCTAAAGTCCATTCAACAAGGTTTGTTTTCCGTTTTCCTAACAGTATATAATATAATAACTGTGTAGTATGTAAAATTTCGAGGTATTTTTGTATGTAGAAACACAAAACAAGGTTCATACCCCACACATGTGTAAGCGTTGTCATATTTCTTACTGGAAAAAATAGTATACTGTCGAATGATATCATAACAAACTCGAAAATCCATCAGAGTGGTAGCATTTGAGACGAAAATGCACGAAATGTCGGTTTTTGCCCTGTTTTCATATCAATATATTATTATGAAGGGGAGCGATTTCCATAATATTTGAATGTGTACGGGTGAGATAACATTCATGCAGAGTAAATGTGTCAGTTTGGTTAGCTTTCCTGCAAAGGAAAGTGGTAAATCAATAAGTGAATACAAGGTAAAAACGTGAAAACCCCAGCACAGGGTGGTAGGTGCATTGTTAACTCTGGCAATGTTGAACGTGTTAACAACTGAACTAGTTCTTTCTCTTTGTTCTCTCATTCCTGTTCTTCTCACAGAGTTTACAGAACTGACCTGTAATTCTAACAGAAGTTCTTGTTCCAAGGGCTGAACCGTTTAAGTGAAATCCTACATTGATCTGTGCACACTGCTACACTAGTCTAACCCTAATCCTAGTGCAATGCTAACGTACTCCAACCCTAATCCTTAAACAATGCTAGTAAACCCTAATCCTAATCTTAGTCCAATTCTATCCAACCAAATGCAGCTCCAGCACTCGCAGCGGGTAAAATTGACTAACTACGTAGAGACATAAGCGAGCACTGGTCAACTTACTTGAGTTCTTTCATGGCAATCTGCAGTGGATCAGTCTCTCCCTCTAGCTCGACCATGACCGGCGCACACATCCTGCAAAATGTACGTGAAGATGATACGCAAATTTATTCGTTTGACTTTTTGTTGTATTACATAACTTTTGTTGTATATTATATATATATAGCCCCCCCCTCACCCACCCGCCCGATCTATGTGTGAAAATTACCCCACATAATAATAATACTCACACTACATATATTAGTTACGTATATATTACATTTATTTATTATATATATAGCCCACCACCCCACATCTATAACCCATCTATAATCTGTAATATATATTATTAGCTCATCTGACGAAGTCCGATTCAGCTTGTAGAATCGCATGAGCGTGCGTGCGTCCATCCGTCAACAGTTGGGCACAAATCTTAACCGCTCGACGTACGGTCACGATATTCGGGCCGCCGGGGGGGGGGGGGCGGCGGAAGGATCGTGAAAAGGACCCAGGATGACAAATTTGGGGGTCAAGGGTCAAAGGTCAAGATGTGTAAACTGAGGGGGAATATTTACAGAGTGAAAAACTTTTTTGTTTCAGCACTGACCTACTATTTTTATCACTTTATTGAAAGGACCATGAAATGTGCTTTCCACTGACGTGCGAAGAGTAGTTAAACATGGATTACTCAACTGCCTCAATGACGTCACAGTGTTGTCATATTCATGGCACATGCATAATCTATAAACCCAATAAGCCTGCATAGCCGAACGCGTAGAGCACGAGCGTCACGGCTGAAAGGTCGTTGGACCGAATTCCATCTGTTTTTTAATTATTTTCCTGTATTCTGTATTTTTCTATCTTTATCCATTTAACAATTTTTTTCCAATTAACGCTAATATTTACATGATTTATTTACAACAATTTAATAACAACAAATAATTTTGACAATTAAAATTTTTTGGTTAGGGTTAGTGTCACAATGCACCATAAAACATGAGTTTCAAAATCACCCTCTCTCTTCCTCTCTCTCGTTCTCTCTCTCTCTCTCTGCAATAAAAAAACGTTTGCTGAAATGATGTGTACGCAACTGCGTATCTGCATATCTCTGCCTAACAAAGGTGTCACTATACACGACTGAAATGTTACGTTTATAACCGTAGCAACAGACCTCAGATGAGCCCAGTCGCTCTGCGGCTCTTGTTACATTATATATCTCCCCCTTCCCCACATACGCACGCACGCACGCATGCTACCCTACACTATGTGTACGTACGCTATCTGCAGTGCGCGGGTTCCCAGCACCAGCATGCGTGCGCGCACATGCACGCAGTGTCACACGCTACCCTACACTATATGTACGTACGCTATATGCAGTGCTCGGGTTCCCAGCACGCGTGCGCGCACATGCACACATGCTACCCTACAGCAGGGTTCGACACTAACCCACGTCCGACCGACCTAGTCGGGTAAATGCTTGGTCCGCTAGTAGTGCTAGTAGCCCGACTGGTCGTGTTAGAATTGGTCATATATATTGCACTGAAAGGTCACCTCTGGCTAGACTGGTTTGCGGCCGCACTGTTTGTTGCAGAACGTGTACATTGTTTAGCAGAGCGTGAGGCCGGATACCAGTCTACCCTTCAGCAAAAACAATAACGTGGCTTGCTGCCAGCTGCAGTAGACGATCAATAAAAATTGCGCTCGTGTATGCCCGTGGTAGAATACGAATGCTGCACGTGAACTCGGCCCACGCACGATTTAAAACTCGGGAAACAGCATCTATGAATTCATACGATGACACACTCAAGATTATCTAAATAAAGTTTTTCATAACAATGGTCTGGGTCTGGGCTAGTGAAAGTTAGGTCAGGGCTAGTGGTTTTCCTCAGTTACTAGCCCGATGGTCTAGTGAAAATCTCTCTCTCTCTCTCTCTCTCTCTCTCTCTCTCTCTCTCTCTAGGTTCGTCAACAGCCTGGTCTACTATGGTTTGTCGCTGAACACGAACGGCCTCGGTGGCGACCCCTACGTCGACTTCATCCTCATCGGCGCGGTGGAGATTCCGTCGTACACGTTCTGTCTGCTGACGCTGGATAGACTCGGCAGACGCCCCGTGCTCTGCCTCATCATGCTGCTAGGGGGCGCCGCCTGCATACTGGTCGGATTTATACCCGAAGGTAGGCTAAGGTCGGGTAAGGGTCGGGTAAGGTCGGGTAGGGTCAGCTAAGGTCAGGTAAGGTAAGCTAAGGTCAGCTAAGGTCGGGTTGTTGTTTTTCATTCGTCGGCCATGGACACTTATAAGAGAACGATAAGTTCTTACGTGTTACCTAAAAATGACCAAAGTTATTGTTTTCTCAATAAAATCGACCTAAAAATGACCTAAACAGACCTAAAAATCGACCTAAAACGTTATTGTTACCTTTTAGCTAGGTTACCGTTTAGGTTTAACACAACCTAAACTACAATACCAGGTTGTCACAAGTTACCTAAATGAGTTGACAACAAAACAAACTTGTCGTCGCCCATAATAATGCATCATTTGTTTTCTCTCTACCCGCCCGCCACTCCCCTCGGTCTCTCCCCTCTCTCCGCAGCTTTCTCCACTCGTGCCGCCGCACAGACCTGCTGCTGCGCCTCTCCCTTCTGCCTCTCCTCTCCCCCTCTCTCTCTCCCTCTCCGCCCCAGGGCCTTTATATAAAAAAAAAACTAAACAACAAAAACAAACAACCCACGTCGTCGCCCGTATTTAATGCATCATTTGTTTTTCTATCTCTCCCCTCTCTCCACTCCCCTCGGCCCTGACTGCACTGACTGCACTGACCGGCACTGACTGGCCGCACAGACCTGCACTGGCTGACGGTCACACTGGCGATGGTCGGTAAGTTTGGCATCAGCGGATCGTTCGCCAGCATCTTCATCTACACGGGAGAGCTGCTACCGACGCCGCTACGCAGCACAGGAACGGGCATCGCCTCCATGATGGCTCGCGTCGGTGGCATAGTGTCTCCCTTCGCAGTCATGCTGGTGAGTGCCGGACTCTCTCTCTCTGTCTCTCTGTGTCTCTCTCTCTCTCTCTCTCTCTCTCTCTCTCTCTCTCACTCTCTCTCTCTCTCTCTCTCTCTCTCTCTCTCTCT